CAGTTAATTCTGCCTAAAATGTATATTCGTCGGTATTTTTTGAAAACACCCGTGGGGCGTAAATCATATGATAGTTTAAAAAACGCAAAAATGGCAGGATAAGGGAATAATACTGTCCATTTTTCCGAAAAGACAACCGTCCGTAAAGGAGTGTTCTCACTATTAGTTCGGAGACATGCGGTTTACCAGCAAAACTGCCCCAAGATGTTACATTATATGCAGATACCCTGCAAACACCGTCTTGACGCTTTCAAATTCAAGTAATTGAGGCGAGAAGGCGAGTTCGCGGAAGGGTCATTCTTGGAGCTTATTTTGAATGATCCCAGTATAATAAACATCTACTTATGTGCCGTTGCTCTCATTTACCGTTTAATGTGAACTGAATCCTAATAAAATAATAGTATCTGGCTCTTGACCGTCAAGGCTACGCTAATATTTTCCACTTGTTGAAATTGGCCTTGATAAAAATAAATTTAACCACCTTCTGTGCTACCCTGCTGGTTCTACATTTAAAAAATCGGGTGTGTCTTCACAAGCATTGCTGTCATTTTTCGAATTGTTGACCCTACTGGTCTGGCAGACTTCAAGGTGTTTTTCTTGCCGCCTATCTGCTGACGGAGGTAAAGAGATGTGAAGTGAGCTTAAAGGAGCGCATGCAATTCCCTAAAAACTTTCATAACAACCAACTGACAGTGTTTCCATTAAAGCAGTACCAAAGAAACCACGCAGTGTGCGGCCTTCTCTTTGACGTCTCGTTGCCAAATATTTGTCTAGTCGAACCATGAACAGTCAACTTTTTCTACGGGGATTGGGTACAGTTAACTGCACAAAATGCATCATGAAAGCCATCCTATTAAACATTCATCACTACGAAAAACTTGGACATTGAGGAAAAAGGCATAAGTGGACTCAGTTAATTTAGTGAGAACTCAGCCAAAGGTTGAAATTAGTCACAAGCAGATATATTTTTAAGGTTTTATTCGAAGTTATTAATGTGAGAACACCGGGTAAACCAAGCACTCTAAAAAACCATTCCAAATAACTTTATTTGGCACTTGATGACGTCAGAGTGCCTGATCTCAAAGTAGCCTAATAATGGATATTGAGAATAACTAAAGCTTTCGCGTTGAAAATTTGCTTTGGTTCTAAATTCGGCTGTTTGGTGGAGTATCCTTTAGGTGTTTATTCCGTCGTTCCAAGATAGCAGCATGTTTTAAAAATGTGCTGCCTTTAAAAACGAGCGTTGTAATTTATTATGGAAAATTACAAATAGTTACTAAAGTCCAAACATAACAAATGATAATTTCAAGAAACTACAGGTCTTGTATGCCGGAAGACGTGTCCTAGTGTATGGAAAATCTTCGTGGGCTTTAGAATGAGCGTTTTGCAGAAAGTACTCGGATGAAACTCCTAAAACGGGGGATTAGATTTTGGGCGATATCCAAACTGCAGAATAACTCCCTTTTGCTAACACCTTCAAAATCACAATTAGTGTCAGCAAGCCCTACCAGGTAGATACATTTCGTAAAAGGATTCCTGAGCATTTACTCTATGTCTTGACGTAGAAGAAACTGAAAAGATGTCTCGAAGTGTATAAAAGCTTGTGAAACTTGTGCAACGCCTGAAAATTCGAGAACAGTCATAAGTCCTTGGGGAAACGCCCCTGGAGCGTCAGGCAGAACGTACAGGTAAAGTTTTAGCATAATTATTAAATTAAAAGACGGATGAAGAATTTGCGGAAGGCAATTTAAGTTTTTCAGAAGCATTCTTTTTAGGGAAATCGCTGATTACAAAAATATGAATGTATGTACAAAATATGATGCAAAAAGTGAAGTTCACAGGGTTCTGAAAATGAGAGGCTGCGTGGCATTTTAGTAAAAAGGGCCTTTTAGTGTTTTCGGTGAAATTGCCCATGACGAAATTAATGCTACATGGTTTCCGAGGTTGAGATGGAAAGATTGATCATCAGCTAAGATGCGAATTCTAGTAGCAAACGCAAATGTAGGCACCCGACATTATGCCGATGAGTCAAATGTAAGCTATGATAATCTTGATATTGCGGACCACTAGGTTTAACTTCGATTTTGAAATATTGTGAAAACTTGCGTTTCTGTAACTCTGAGCCATTTGCGGGTACAAATGGTTCTTAAATTTTTTGCTATACAGTTCAGCTTACCATGACAGATCTCAAATGCGCTTACGATTCAGCAAAAACCCATAGAGGATCATTTTTCTGCAGCCAATGATTCGCGTCACGTTTGCGGACTACGAATAATCAGTCCTCCCGGAACATAAAGAAACTAGAGTTTACAGCAGATATCCGTGTCATGGACGAAATGATAATCCATTCAAAATGCTTTTTTTCCATGGACGACTGAAAATCCGATGAGGTCCATCTTTTCCAAGTAGGTTTAGGTATAAAGTAGACGATATCCCCCTGTTCACAGGCTACCCAGTCTCGTAATATGTCCCCTTTGTATTGTAAAATAATAACGTCTTTTTAAGAAAAAGCATATTTTGTTTATCAGGGCCTAATAATAAATCAAGTTCTTTTGTCACATAAGCGCGATAATGCGGCAGTGATATGCCTAAGAGGTTTTGACCAAATCACCTGCCCACGAATTCTTTTCCTAATAGCCCAATTTCTAGCTAGGAGTTTAATTTTACCGCATGGGTATATTCGGGAAAAATCCCTAACGAATCCGCAGAGGGCCTAAATTTATTTATTGAAAACCAGATATGTATCGAACGACTACCCTGTGAATATGAAAAGATAGGAACCACTCAAGACAATACTGCGTTGAACGTAAAAACAGTTTTTAAGATAAACGCACATGCTGCAGACACGATAATTCGTGCCAACTGAACGAACAAAGAGTTTCAGAACATTTAATGTATTTTCACGCAAATGTTGGACAAATAAAATAGCACAGCATAGTTAAAAGAGTTTCACACAAAGTGAGAGAATCGGTAAATGGCTGTCTCTGGGAAATCGGAACGATGTGCCAACAAATATTCTGTTTCAGTGATCGCATCTTTTCCCCTAAACTGCTTCCTGGAACGCACCTGTTCGCTGCCACAGATAGACAGTAAACGATTTGATTATTTATAAGTTTATACAGAACGTTATGCTGGCCTAGAAAATAAACCCTTCTATGTTGCATTTTTATAAATGCGAATAATCAGGGAGCGGGTGATTGTCGGACTTCCTGAGTGGACACATGGCAGAAATTAAAGTGTTTACGATTCCACGCGCCAGCGGACTAGCCAGTGACTCGTGTGTGAAGATGCGACCTCAAACATGCTATTTCATGTCTATTGGTAGGCCCATTCTTTAGCAAAGTCTCTGTGTACGCGTTGGCGACAATAACGATCGTCGAGTCTCAACGCGTCGTCGGAAATTTAGTAAATGTCGTGCGGTTTCTAATGCGCCCAACCAATTTCCAGAAAAAAAAACTATTTCTTTGCTTTGTACCTCTGAACGTCCTCAAGACATTGAGGTTTTAAAAAGCTTAGACTTGTAAGTGGAGTTTCTAGACGATTTACTTCTGCAGATGGTGGTTTCAGTCATATTCTAGGCTCATGTTAACGAGGAACCACTTCACCAAATAAACCGAATGTCCACATGGTAGGGTTGTAATACATTTCTTCATGCTCAAATATAAATCCCCTTTGGAACTTTTTCTCGGCAGAAACATGTCTTGTTGGTTTATTTTGCGGGTGAATACACATGCCTTTATTCCTTTCCAAAGTAAATGTGATGTAGAAAATGAAAAATCTTGCCTGTTCTTGGAGGTTTCTAGCGGCTGTGCAAAATGATTTTCAGTCAAAACGTTCTGTTCTTTTGTTTGAAAACCAATTCCTTCAACTTTGCTAGTTTTGGACCCCACTCATCGATCATGAATGCACTGCGGTGTACCCAAATAAGTGCTACATTTACGTATGGCCAACATGCCACTAGTTCCATTCCCAAATTACATGTCAGCAGACGCAAAATCCCGTGAAAGGCAGTTTGCTGTGTACTTTGATTTTTAACTGGACAGTTGGTGGGTAACGTTACAATGACCTCTAGACTATTTGCCTGTGAGGGAAAAACTATACATGTGATAATGAAAAGGGTTACTGGTTTTGTTATTTCTGCCTTTCAGTGTCCAGGATTGAAAATATTTGCAAAGTGAACAAAGTAAAAAGAAAACAGTCACGGATTTTTTGAGAATATAATTATTTGAATCCTGTTCCCACTGGTTCACGCGAGCTAAAGCACCATGTTCGGAGTAAGTGATGGCTGCTTTCCTAAGCCCTTTCTGTCTGAGTAATGATCCCTATTAGAGAAACAAACATCACTGTGCAGCTTTGAGCTAGGAACGTCATTAGTGCAAGGAATTGTGTAAGGTCAAAGTGAAGTTTATTTCTTCCTGAAACTGCAAACACCTCCTCTAGTAAATTAGCCTCATAGCCTAGTTTGCACAAAAAGAAAAATCTTTACGTGCCACACCTGGTTAAACAGGCAAAATCATGCAATTTTTGATTCCCATGGATGGTTTGTTTCGTCGGTTTAGTCACCCCGGATACATCAGAACAGAGATGGCCGTCAAAACGATAAAAACTAGTCTGGTGCCACACCAACTATGCAAATTCGTGACCTCCCTTTCGGAGCAACACCTTGCGTGAGAACAGGCCTTGGAGGCGGAATTGCAAAGTAGCTTCTTCGACAAAGCGGCCAGATAAAGACTGACACATCTAAGAAATGCGGCTGACTTGCCTAACACAAGCTTTAAACCTTAATTCAAATAAGGTTTTACTTTGTTCCTCGGGTACTCACAGAAGTCAGATTAATGATGAGACTTCAGATTGCCCAGAACGGCCAAAACAGTTACTTCGAATTGTCGTTGCTATTATTGATTTTGTTCCTATGTATGGACGAAATCGCCCCCAGCAACTAACAAGACCAGAGTATGACTGTGAAAAAAAACTCAATTATACATTGGTGCGCTTGTGCAATGCTCACCGTTGGCAGCGTAAGTGACACTTTGCAACGGTCTCCAACGACGATTTACATTTTATGCTAGTTATAGCACAAACACTGATGTAAAATTAGTAGCCGTAAATATATTCTGCGCGAATTTAGCTGAAATTGATTGAATCAACTTCACCTTATGCAATCACTTTTGGAACCCATTCTTATAAGTGGTTACTCTTGTTGCAGCCAGGCGTTTATATTCTGCTACCTGGCCGGTCTACAAAACGTCCTTGTACGTAATAACTTGTTTGGATACGCTTGTGAAATGTTTACCGTACTAACAACACAGGTATTAGCTAAAAGCCCAGACACGCGTGTTTCGCCGATCTTATGCCGCTGCATGACGCAGCTGCGAGGGGTTCGGCCCGTCAGTGGGTCCGCCAGCCTCCCCGTATGCTTTCTGGTATAAGAACTTCAGTTTCAACTTGCCTTGCTTAATTTCCGAGGAACCTAATGCGCGAACTTGGGGTAACACTTTCAAAACAGACCTTTTACTCAGAAATAAAACAAGTCAAGTTGAAACTGCAGTTCCTATAGCAGAAAACACACGGGGAAGGCTGGCGAACCCACTGAAGAGCCGAACCCCTCACAGCTGCGTCAGGTAGCGGCATAAGATCGGCGAAATTCGCGTGTCTGGCCTTTTAGCTAGTACCTGTGCTGTTAGTACGGTAAATCATTGCACAATTCTATACTACTGGGTGCCTGTTGGCGGTTTGGGAATATTAAGCGGTTATTCCGCAGTAGCTGATGGATTTCAGCTCAAATATTCATGTCAGACTTCGGACCGTGCCTGAAAAGGTCTGGTTCGAAAGATTTACTCCAAGTTTGCGCATAGGTTTTCTCGGCAATTAAACAAGACATGCTTGGATACCTTTCTTGACACCAAAAACATTTGAAAAGCAAGCGAGGGCCATCAGGAGGCACGAATAAGTGGGTTAAATATAACAAATTATAAATAGCTGGACTTTAATGCCGATAATTTGGGTCTGGCAGGCGTTATTTGGAATGCGCATCCACAAAAATATGCCAACATTCGGGACGAGGTGGCACGCTCATTTGAAAGTCCACGCCGGGGAACCTGGGATCGGGACTGTCCCCTTTTTGCCGTGTCATAAAATCCTGATAAGTGTACGTTATGGACCAAGCGCGGGTATTTCCGTGGCAGTCACCTGCGCCCAGTCTTACCTGCTGTCTTCTTGACTTTGCCATGACAGCGGGTCAAGGTGTGTGAGCAGGAGAGAGTGCAATAGATGCAGCGCAAGTCCAATAACACTATGAACTTATTCGCTTGCATGCTGCCGTCCAGTCTGAAGGAGAGCACACGGCGGGCAGCATCGGTCACGACGGTCCAACTATCATGCGCTGCTGGATGGCGGTTGATGACTGACCACCGTTTTGTCCGAATTTGGCGTGGTCGAATGCGAAGAGGTCCGTGCTCCGTTGCACGTTAGCTCCTCTCGCGGTGTTGAGAGCACAGCCATCGGCGAAGAGGAGATCGTAGAAGACAGTCATGGAGAGACGCGTTGAGGTCTGTATGTGCCGGCTAATGAGAAAATTTCCGCCGATCTTGACGACGATGCGGATCCCGGGGCGTTCATCACAGTGGCTTCCATCAGCATGACAGAACACATTGGGGGTAAGATGTGGTTTGGTAGCCCCCACTGATGGACACAATACTGTTGGGGTTTGGGTTAAGGGTGGGGGTTAGGAGTTAGCGCAACCATTTCTCAACAATTCAAAGTACATCTGCGCATTCGCAATAGCTTTCCTTTTTCATACAACTACTTGACCTCGTCATCTGTGCGTTCCCCGGCCTCACCTGTAAAAACCCCTATTACCACCGGTCCTGTATTAGAGATGACTGGGGTTTGTTTACTTCAGGTGAGGCTACATAACCGCACCCGACGCACATTGGACTGCTTTTGTCCGTTGTTCACAGCAACTGCCTTTGAGACTGTCCCCTTTCAGACATAGATGACGGTTTGGTTGCTGCGTTCGACACTGTCCACCATTCTAAATAAGAAAATGGGTTCACTGGAACAAGAAGTTTATTGGTCTGACGTTTAGGATTTGCACCCGAGCCCATCATATGAGGCAGTCAGAGATAAGGATAGTGGAGGTCCAATGAATGCAGTATTTATATTATGTAGCTGCCGCGGGTCCATCCGCCAACATCCAACACGGACAATGAAGGCGCGAAAATTAACGATTGTCAGGCGGACTGAGAAGCCATCATCACATCAGTTACCACCCCCCCCCCGTATCGGTGATCGTGAGAGCTGCTAATTATAGTGCGCATTCGGCTGACTGGCTTGGACAGTCGACAGAAGGGCAGGGTAGGGTAGGATGATTTAGGTTCACTCTCAGTGCATAATTACTCCTCACTAAGCAATATGACGCACTTGAGACTATCGTCATGCCCTGAAGGTGGTGGATCGGAAGTTTACATGATGAGGATTCAAGTCAGATCATGTAGTCAGCCCAGTGTGTGTCTGTGTGGCCGATTGATGGACTAAGGGTCGGGCTACAAAGGCTCCATATTAATGTGGCCGATATAGCACTCGTAACTTGTATGGTCCGAGTTGCCTCTTTTTTGCTGTGATAAAATCCTGCTCTGCGGACCGTGGCTGGGAGAGGTGAGTGAGAAAGAGCTGCGAACAGCTGGTCTGTGCGTGTCGCGCACACAAAACTGCCCACCCCCCCCCTCTGCGTACACACCATGATTTCGAAAGGGTGCTAGGCTATTCTGATCTCACAAGTAATAGAGGAGGCAGGTGGGTAGAGTAGCCGAAAAACAAAATTCGCACTTATATGAGAGGTGTCGGCAGTGTGCGATGTTGGAGGTGTTCTTGCGTGACGCAAGCGGGAGATGTGTGGTGATGTGATTATGTTGGAGACGATTTACTGTGATGATTTGCGTGATGGCGCATGTGACTAAGTGGGCTAAACACGTATCTTGGCTTTTAGCTAGTACCCATGTTGGGAGTACGGTATAACCATCCGTCATATGCTGTCATGCTACCAGTATTACTGCTTGTTTGTAGAATGGACATCACGTTGTTATCCCACAGTGGTTGACTGTCTTCGCTCCAAATGTTCATCTACGTTTCGGACACGTGACTGTTCCTGGTATCATTATTTTGGGGTTCACAATCCAGAAACCACATAAAGAATACTCGGAGCTACACCGAGTAGCCTCATTCAGCAGCGGAATTCACTATTCTAAACATCAGAACCTCATGAAATTCAAAACCAGACATCCGAAACTAGGAGCTTCATCAAAAAATCAAAGGTCGAAATCGTCGAACATTCCGAAACCGATACGAAAAGGGCAAACTACAGAAATATTGTGCCAACACGGGCCAACGGGCTTTTTATCGAAAGGATCGGCTTGATAGACGAAGAGCTGGAGCATCATTTTTCAAACAATAGGTACCATCTTTGAATGGAACGACACTTCTTTGCATGCATTCAGTGGATAATTTGAAACAAGTCCTGAATTTCCGGTAGGACTTACGGGACGTTAGTTGTCTCTGCGGGTCATTCTAAACCCTATAAGTAGACGAAAGCAGATAAGCAAATGACTGACACGACGGCTTTTGATATTACCGACAAAGACAAGGGAGACAGGAATGGCCATTTCTGGCTTATTAACCGTCGTCAGCCAGCCATATCCAATTCCTGGAGAAACTCAAAGGGGTAAGCATCCATCTAAATGAGGTCATGGTCTCTTTTGATGTTACATCCCTTTTTACTTCTATTCCCCAGGACCTGGCGATCGAGACTATTGAGCTGCTACTACAAAGCAAATATGATGAAACGGAGAACCGTCTTGGACACGCCCAAATCCTTCAGCTCCTGAAGCTCTGCCTCAGGACGTACTTCACGTTCAACGGGACAATCTACGAACAGGTGAAGGGCACACCAATGGGTTCGCCGATTTCGGGATTCATAGCCGAGGCGGTCCTGCAACGGTTAGATTCGCTGGTCTTCCAACACCACAGACCGAAATTCTGGGCCCGGTATGTGGATGACACCTTCGTCGTCATCGAACGGGATCAGGAGTTGACACTCCAAGAACATCTCAACGCCGTCTTCCCGGACATTTAATTTACGATGGAGGAGGAAGAGAACAACCAGCTGGCCTTCCTGGATGTCCTCTTATGCCGCAAAGATTGTGGTGAACTAAAAACCAAAGTGTTCAGGAAAGCGACAAATACAATGCAAGTACTGAACTTCAACAGTAACCACCCAATCAGCCACAAACGCAGTTGTGTAAGGACGCTCTATCGGCGTGTCGAAACGCACTGCAATGAGCCGAAAGACAAAATTGCCGAACTACAATACCTCCGACGGGTCTTCAAAGCCAATGGCTACCCGCGCAACTTCGTCGACCGGTGCATACGCAAAAGGGACGAAAGGCCTAACCGCACCACTTGGGGTTGGAGTGGCACACAGACCGGAGGCAACCATCAAGCGTCTGATCATGAAACCGAAAGACCCACTGCCACGGCTAGAAACGTCTGGAGTCGTTTATCGGATCTGGTGCAGTTACGGACAAAGCAACTACGTCGGAGAAACCGGAAGACAGCTCCGAACGAGAATGGCCGAACACGCGGCAGCGGTGCGCAGAAATGACGCCAGCTCTCAAGTTGCGGCTCATTCGACGAGATCCGGACACACATTCAAATTCGATGAGGCCGCAATTCTCGCAAGAAGTGACAACCGCGTGAGCCGGGAGCTACTGGAATCATGGTTTACTGGCCCCCAGTCCATCAACAAGTGCAACGATCTTCCCACTCCATACTGCGTGCTTAAATTTCACCTAGCCGGAGTGATTAGCCATGCGGGGAGCGCAGAGGTGAGCACTTTTCCCAACACCGGGGTCGGTGCGTCAGATGGTCGAGCAATCATCACGCCAACATCCAACGCACGTGATGAAATTGCAGCAATTATCGACTCGAATGTCGGCCATCACGCAGTGATCACACCAAGTGCGACGATCCCGGATGAAGGGGGGAGCCGTGAATGTTCATAGGTATGCGGTAGCATGGCTACTGCATCCTATAAATACCGCAGCCCCTTGTGCAGCAACCACCCGTTTCTGCTTTTTTGTCTCTGATGATGGATTCAAATAGGAATCCGAAACGTCAGGCTAATAAAGCTCTTGTCCCGGCGATCGTGTCTCCTTCTTCATTACAGAGACTTTGGACATGACAACCGGTGTGGACTTACAACAACAGCGACCATTGCGATGAACGCACTACGGCAGTGCCGATAAAAGCGTAGATGCGAGTCCCAGGAAGCAGTTGCGAAGAAGGAGACACGATCGTTGGGACACGAGCTTAATTAGCCTCACGTTTCGGACTCCTGCTCGAAACCATCATCAGAGACAAAAGCAGATACGGATGGTTCATGCATAAGGGGCCGCAGTATTTATAGGATGCAGTCTCCATGCTACCGCGTACCTATGAATGTTCACGGCTCCCCCCCCCCTTTTATCAGGGATCGTTGCACTGGGTGTGATGATTGTTTGATAGTCGACAATCGCGTCGGTAATTGCTGCAATTTCATCACGTGCGTTGGATGTTCGTGTGATGATTGTTCGACCAACTGAAGAGTCGGTCCGGGCGTTGGGAGCAGAATTCACCTGTGGCCTCTCCGCCTGGCTAATTTCACCGCCTAGGCGAAGTCCCAGCACAGAGTATGGAAGGGGTAGGTCATTACACTTGTTAATGGACTGGGGGCCAGTGAACCATGACTCAAGCAGCTCTAGACTGACGCGGTTGTCACATATAGCGAGAATTTCGATCGACCCGCTGCCAAGGTAAGGGACGTCTAGCGTTGTTTACCAGATCTGATGTAGTCGCGGCCAAAGCAACTACGTCAGAGAGACTGGAAGACTGCTGCGAACGCAAATGACTGAACACGCGGCAGCAGTGCCGAGAAAGGACGCCAACTCGGAGGTTGTGGTTCATTCGACGATATCCGGCCACACATTCAAATTCGACGAGGTCGAATTCTCGCTAGAGGTGAAAACCACGTAAGGCTAGAACTGCTTGAGTCATGGTTCACTGGCCCCCAGTCCCTTGACAACTTCAACAAACTTACCCTTCCATAATCGGTGCTCAGACTTCGCCTAGGCGGCGTAATTAGTCTAACAAAAAGATGTAGAAAATTATTATGTGACTATGCTTGCACTTTTTATAACCTTGCAGCAAGCCAATACAACCGGGGGAGGCTTAATTAAAGCATGTAGGTAATTAGAGTAATCAGGTTATGTTCACCTTTTCATACAAGTGGATAGTTGTGAGAATGGAAGGATGACTAATCAGTATCAAGCTAGTCAGGTAATTATGGTTATTGCGGGTGAGAAGAAGTTTGGTAAGAGCGGTTTCGTCGCAAAGAAAGGAAGGAAGCGCAAAAGTGAATACATTTACCAGGTTAACCGATCTTTGGTGTGCCCAGGGTGGGATCTGAACGAGGCTCTTCTGTGCCCACAAGATCGGCCTACGTACACTGAATGTGGCAGCTATTGCAGGTACTACAGATGATGTCACAGGGGTTTGGAATTCACACAGTGTACGTGCATGGACGGCGCCACCTGCGCCCCCGTAATTCCACCCTTTCTCCATCATGCTTGAAAGTGTTCACGTATCCAATTGGACAGGCGTCGACTCATGTGAGTAATATTACATGCCCCACTGGAGTATGTACAGGAGTAGGTACATGTTGCGGTGTGGTCTGTGCCGGGACATCTCTTCCCTTTCTCCTCATCGAATTGGTAGGATGAGAATAGCATCTAAACCCGTGTTGCTGAAAATGTCGGCAAACCGGTTAAGTCAAGACGTCTATACAGAGGCTCAGTCAACGCGCATTCTTGACAGGGAACTCTGAGGAATAAGCGTCACTTGAACGCTGTCCACGCGGTAGACTTCGCTGGTCTTTCGACAATAATCCTTATGCGAAATCGACTAGACGGTCTATTACTAGGAAACCGGTTACAGATCTTAACAAGCCCCCTCGCTCCTACCAGAGGTGCAGCTTTTTCTAGCCTTGAATTAAATTGCCTTTTTGGCTGGAGGACAGGAACCTGTTGAATTTTGTATACAATTGTTCCGCTAATTAGCGATGAGCGACAATTTTTCAAGATGGGCGGACCTGAAGCTGTAAACGCACATTCAGCTAAATGTTTCAAGGAAGGCTGAACACAGAAAATTCGGCAGTTGAGCTGCCCCTTTTAGGAAAGATAATCAAAACATTTTATTTGGGAAGGCAGCGCATCCTACAAATATCGTGTGGGCTCAACCGAACTCTACTCAGTTTTCCTGATAATCTTTAATTCCCTGCGAAAGGGGCATGCAGTGCCGATGAAGGAAAAGGGCTCTTTCCTGATTCCGTGTACTGGGGGAATACTTTGGGCCTTGTAAGCACATAGGGACATGAATAGCATCCCCTGCCCTGGATTCTATTTCTAGATTGTTCAAGGTTTGGACTTGAGGAGTTTAGAATCCCAAGAGGGAGATAGCTCTTCATTAGCGGCTCGGATGACATTTGGTTCATAGGTGAATGAGGTCATTAGTGTGCCATAGTAAGCAGATGAATTTGAAGGCTCCCGTTTGCCACCGGCTGGCATAACAGTGGCTTCTTTAACCTGAAGGTCTGGTATGAGGCAATGTCTCAACATGGAGCTGCCGAAACATTTATAAGAAAGTAGAATATAGATACAGTATCCTACGATCAGACCAGATCGGTGAACTGTACACCACCTATTTCTTGCACTGTTTGCTGCTACTGTTTTGCATTAGCCGTGGCGATTTATGATCTCGCTTATGGTGCTCTTAAATTGCCTTATGTTCTGTTGATGCAACTTGTCCCTTTCACCTTTGTTCGCCATGTTTACGCCTAACCCCCCTTCCGTTATCTATATTAACCGTTCTTCACAGCCTTTTTTCGATTTAACCCCGTGTAGGTAAATATAAAAAGGTCGCAACGTGATCCGGAAACTGGGGCCTGAAAGCCCAGTGAGGTTAATTATTCACCGGAATGTCACTAGACAGGGTAGGGTTAGTCCGTGTAAGCGTCTCTTCTCCTTCTAAGCCCCTTTAGTAGGCTGTTACAGTCTTTTCGTCGGTGCGCTATATTTGCCGATTTTGCGTGATGACTTTCCAGACATCCTGACTGATTTAGACGGGGTTTAATTAGGCCGTCGACATGTCCTTTTAGCGGCACTTACGTTTGTCTTGTTTGTGAACGCCCATAGCAGCGTTGTCGTTCTATCGCAGTTGTATTTGTCTCGGCCACTTTGCCTCCAGTCTTCTGCGACGTGACTTTATTTCTTGACTTTCAAGCACCGCTCACGCCTGATCGCAGTACTGAAGCGTAATCAGGGCATTAGCATTGTACATCCTCAATTTTTTGTTGACACCACACAGTCCCAGATGGAGCGCTGCAGCCGGTCAAAAGGTTTGACTGGCCTTTGAGATACGATTAGCGGTTCTAGCGTCGGTTGGGGTACTCCCCCGCAGTTTGAATCCCTGCGTACACGAATTTGTGGGGTGGGTGTCATCAGCACCAATGCCGGGTTTGTCAGATTCACCATTTAACGTCAACCCAGAGTAAGATCGCAGTTGGTAGCCAGAAATTATACGCTGATACTGTCGACGCGCTTACTTGTTACCTGTAGGTGTGCTCACCTTGTCTAGGGAACTTCTTATCAGTAGGTGTGCTCCTACTGAGTTAGGCAGGTTGCTCGTTTCGGTCAGGCTGTTGGGTTTAGTGAGGGTTAGGGTTAGGCGTAGGTTAATTTTTAGGATTAGGGTTTACGTTTTAGGATCAGGTTTCAGTGTTAGGGTTAGGGTCAGGGTTATGCTTAAGGGCTACGGTTAGGTTTAATATTTCGGTTAGGGTTAGGACTAAGGATCTCGTTAGGGTTACGGTTAAGGTTAGGGTTAGGGCTAAGGTTAGGGTTAGGTTTAGGGTTATGGCTAGGGTTTGGGTGAGCGTTGGGTTTTAGGATTTCAATTAGGTTTGGGTTTCGGGGCTCAGGTTTAGGCTTTACGGTTACGGTCAGGGTTGGATTTTAGGGTTAAGGTTAAGGTTAGGTTTTA